TATTTTTAGTTGGAGATGAGTTTTTATTCACTGTTCTGTTGCTTACCCCCAAAATGACTATCAAAATGATTATTCACCCTCATGAGTCTGTGTGTCACCAGCACAGGGAGGGTTGCCTGTGCTGTTTTTAAACACAGAGCCCCTGGGAGCAGAGGACACATTCTAGTTCCAAGCTGCTGAAGACAGGCTCCACCCAGCCGCCTTGCAGCAGCAGCCTACTCCTGGCTCTACAAAGGCCTGTCCCAAGGGGAGTTGTGGGTTGAGGAGAGTTTCAGACAGTAAGGAGGAAGATCAGTCCAGGTCTGAACTTGAACAAAGATTAATGCTGACAGCACAGTTATGAGACTGTCAGAATTGAGAAAGACAGCTAAGACACTTCAGGCCAGATCCAAACTCTGCAGGACAAAGGACATGCAAGGTGGGATGAACTTTACAAAATCACAGAGGGCAGAATTGGTCTTTGAGGAGTTGCTAGTCTTTTGTTTAAGAGTTTGGTAAATATCTTGGTAGAGAAGTGGATGAAACCCAGGGTTCTCACAGCAGGAGCAGGTCATCTCTTCCCCCCAAACTGGCCCTGATCAGGAATATCTGACTGCTTAGTCACCTCACCTACTAGCCTGCCAGCTTGCCAACCTGCCAGTCCATCCTTCCTACTCACTCTCAAGGTTCTCGTAATAATTCAACTGTAAACCTAAAAATTTACAGCCAATTTTGAAAGAGATGCATCCTACCTCAGGAAACCGTATGTCAATTGTGTTGTAATGATATGCTTCTTCTAAGTATGTTGTTATTAAATAAATCATTTTTTTTAAAAAAAGCATGCACCACCACGCCTGGTTTATATCTTTTTTAAAATTTAAATTTCAGGTGGTACAATGCATGTACTGCCCATCACAGTGAAAGATGAAGTCTGGGCTCTGACACTTAGAAGTAGTACTTTTATTTTCTTTCCTACCTGATGAGGAATGGCCAGGCCTGTTAGGGTATTTTCTGATACCTTTTTCTACTGGGTTAATTCCCACCCAAACACCATGCTTTCTATCTTTGAACTAGAGCGAATTGTGTGATATTGCCTGATAGACCCATTCTTAGTTTATGGGGACCTAAAGGCCCCACCTTGCAGAGGTCCGAGAAGTTACTGGGGCATGGCCTGACTTGTTTTCACGGCCTGACTTGTTGTAAAAGTCTGAAGGATACTTCTGCACTGCTGAGGAGTGCATGATCAGTTCGTGACCATCCTTAAGATACACCCTCAGGGGGGAGGGGGATTTCCAGATGCCTTTACAAGCTCTGTAACACCTGCAATAAATGAGTCCCTGCTTGACTAGGCTCCCCTTTGCGCCTGAGTGTTCCCAGTACTGGGGGCAGCATGGGCTGGAGAACAGCGCGCTTACTCATCCCCAGTCATCACTGCGTGGGGGTCACTGGTTCAAACCCCCCACATTAGTTTTATTTTATTTTTTGAGATGGAATCTCTCTAGACTGGCTTTAAACTCATAATCTTCCTGCCTCAGCATCTCAAACACTGGGATTATAGGCATATGATATACCACGCCTGGTTCCGGACAGAATGATACCATTATTCCATCAGTTAAACCACAATATCTTTTTTTGCATGTATTTGGAATATACTGCTTACTCCCATGTTTAGTTTGATTGTCAGATCAGTCTGTTTTGAGAATATTCTTGAGTGAAGATATCTAATTCTGTCAACAGGAACTCTGTGAATCTGGGGATGGGGCTGAATAGAAGGTCGCTTCTCAGTTAAGATATGTGTACTGGAATCTGCCAATTTACAAACCCTAAACCAAACCAAAAACATAAACAAATATAAAGAATCAAAATCATAAGACATTTCATTTTTTTAGTTTAAACAATGAAATTCATATATTTATAAAAATTGATGCCAGGATAAGGATAATGATGGAAAAAGGCACTACATCTAAGTTCTATTATAGGTAGCATGGTCTTCAGTAAGCCCTAAGCACTGAATTAACTAACCAATGCCTTTTCTAAAGATCTCAAATAAAACCATCATGATTAGATTTTGTTTTTTAAAATATCACGAGGGGGCTGGAGAGATGGCTCAGTAGTTAAGAACACTGGCTGTTCTTGCAGAAGACCCAGGTTCGAATCCCAGCATCCACATGGCAGCTAACAACTGTTCATAACTCCAATTCCAGGGGATCCGATAGCCTCTTCTGTCCTTCGCAGGCATTGCATGACATGGGTGCACTTACCTACATTCAGGCAATACATACGTACACATAAAAATAATAAATAAATAAAAATAAATAAATGTATAAAATATCACATGAAGGGGACTGGAGAGATGGATCTGTAGTTAAAGGTACTGACTGTTCTTGCACAGGACCCAGGTTGGATTCCCAGCACTACATGGCAGCTAACAACCATCTGAAACTCCAGTTCCAGGGGATCTGACACCTCTTCTGACCTCCGTGGGCACGGCACAACACAGGTGCACTTACATATATGCAAGCAATACATTCATACACATTAAAAAATCACATGAAAATTAAAACAAAATTACACATTAATCTTATAAGCAAAACTGAAAGATTTAAATTAATTCATATTTTGTATATGTATGAGTGTTTTGCCTGCATATATGTATGTGCACCACATGCATGCAATGCCTGTGGATGCCAGAAGATGGCATCAGATCCCCTGGAACTGGCATTACAGATGGGTGTTAGCCACCATGTGGGTGCTGGGAACTAACCTGGGTCCTGCAAGAGCAGTCAGTTCTCTTAACTGCTGAGCCATTTCTCCAGCCCTGCAAAACTGAAAATTTAAAAACATAGCACCATTAAGATTACAGTCCAAAAGACTGGAGACATGGCTCAGACATTGAGAGCACTGGCTGCTCTTGAAGAGAACCTGGGCTTGATTCCTAGCACCCACATGGCAGCAGCTAACAACCATCCATTCAATGCCCTCTTCTGACTCCTGTGGGCATTGCATGACACATGCAAGCAATACACTCATACACATAAAATAAAAATGACAAATACAATATAAAAAATATGGCATACTTGTTATTTGGTACTATGACACAGTTTATCCTCAAAGTCAGGCAGCTTAAAACAACTGTAAAAGCTAGGTGTGGTGGCTAGTCCCAGCACTAGGCAGAGGCAGGCAGATCTCTGTGAGTTCAAGGCCAGCCTGGTCTACATAGTGAGTTCCAGGCCAGCTGGGGCTACAGGGAAAGCCTGTCTCAAAATAAGACAAAAAAATCCTGTAAATATTTATTATCTCTCACAGTTTCTGTGGGTGAAGAACTGGAAGGTAAGTTAACTATGTGGTTTTTGTCTCAAGGTTTTTCATGAGGCTGCATGTTTTCCAGATCTGTAGGTACCTGGAGGCTGGGCTAGGAATGTTGAACCCACTTCTAAGAGGAGGAAGTACAGAGAGCTTTCATATGCTTCCCTTCCCCCTATCATTAACAACTTGTATTACTGTAGTACATTATTAAAACTGATGAACTAGCATTCCAGGAGATTCTTTAAAAAAAAAAAAAAACAATTGTTTGGCCCTAATCACACATGGTCTCTTGGATTTGGGGATGACTAAAATATATAATCTGGGGAAGGCTAGGAAGAGAAGGCTTGATCCATGCTGAGTAAAGGCTTTCCAGTGAGCATACCCCAAGGTCACTCATACTCCTCAGCAATTCCTCAGTCATCTCTATAAGTAAGCTCAGTAAATTCATTGGTTCCTCAGGAAAACTTTAATCAAACATTGGTTTGATACTAGAACCTTAAAAGGGGATAAGCATTTCTTAGTATCCCCAGGAAAAGAATTATCACAACATGGAAGTTTATTTATTAATATTATTATGTCTCATAATTATTAAAAAAGAAAATGAGAATGTAAAAGACATTAAAAGGATATGGGAATGGAGATATTTTCCAAAGTAGACAGAAAAAATGAGAAAGCCTAAACAAGTGATGAAGGTCTGTGTAGGTTTGCTATGATATATAGAGGATGAGACAAAAATAATATACACATAATCTTAAAATTTCTATGGTCATAGTTTAGTCAACTAGTTTAAGGAACAAAATATATGTCTAGTCAAGATTTCTCTGAGAATGTTGGGGTTTTCCCCAAGCTTTATCTACATAACACATGGTAATTAAAAGTACCAGACTGGTGGAACTAACCTTCTTGGATGTTTAAGAGCCATACTTTGAGGTCTACACTAATCTGGTCAGAGGGACTTAAAGGACAGTTTTTGCTCCTTGCCCTCCAAGGTCGACTAAGTTCTAGGGAACTATGGTACATCCCTCAAAATGTCCTGTAACTGTGGTGAGTCACCTGTCCTCCTATTCAGGGAGGCCATGGAGACCCCACCAGATGGAATTGAACCTGTGCCCAGTCTACAAAGAGGAGGGTCAACTCAGAGGAAACATTTCCTCCATGCTTCCAAGTGAAGCCACCCATGGTTGAGTAGGACCTTTGACTGATCTTCACATAGATGGAACTGGTAAAACAAAGAAGCTGGGGGCTCCTCCCAGCCCATGTGACCCCTGAGGAACTGATCCTCAAACGACCTTAAGACTAAAAATAAATTGGTTTATTTGGGCCAACTGTATGGTCTTAAACACCCAAAAGGAAAGTCTAACCAAAGATTAAAGTGATCAGTTTATTTCTTTAAGAGTTCAAGGGCTTACACTTCCCAGATATTAGGCTTAAGTCCATATAAAATGTTATTTAGAAAATTATTTCTCATTGATGATTTTGTTTCTAATCAGAAAGTGCTTCTCAGATGTAAGACTTCAAATCTTGGTTTGCAATACTGTAGAGCCCACCTGTAGATAAGGGAGACAACCTACTATTGTTCTAAAATGCTGGCTAAATTTTTTTCTCCCCCTATCTAGAAGCCTTTGCAAAGGAACTGACACTGATTCTAGCCACTCCAATAGCTATCAAAGTGCCTGAAAACAAATCCTGAGTCCATCACTCTAGAGTCCAGCCTTGGCAGACAAAAGAAAAATGAGGAGGAACCCAATTCCAGAGGGATTCTTCTGGAAGCTCTTATCAAGAAATTCCAATGGACTCTGACATGAACATTTGAAATTTGCCCTGTTCTGACCTTTTTTCTGGTTCCCTGTTGTCCTAGTTTGTTCTTCATTGCTGAGACAAAAAACTCTGCCCAATACCAACTTGGAGAGGAAAGGGTTTATTTGTCTTACATCTCCCAGGTTACAGTTCATCAGGGAGCCCAAGGTAGGAACTCAGGGCAGGAACCTGGAAGCAGGAGCTGGAGCACAGGACATGGAGGAATGCTGCTTATTGGCTTGCTTTCCTGGCCCCTGCTCAGCCTGCTTTCTTATGCTACACAGGCCCACCTGCCCAGGGGTGGCACCACCCACAGTGGGCTGGGCTCTCCCACGTCACTCATCAAGAAGATACCCTTCAGACATGGCCACAGGCCAGTCCAATAGAGGCAATTCCCGGTTGAGGCTATCTCAACCCAGGTGTGTCAAGTTGACACTAAAGCTATCCAGCACACCTGTTTAGAACTTGTAATACTAAGTACTCTTGCCTTTACTTCTCCTTCACATCTCCTAGGCACCAGTCAAGGACTTTATTTTCTCCCTACAGTTAAGAGTTATGCATTTTGGGAGTCTTTTAGATAGACCCACTGAAGGGGTACCCCAACTGCCTCACCCTGCATCCCTGTTCATTATGGAAGAGGCCAGAGTGGTCTGTGTCCTGATTCCCCATTAGCGATTTGGGAAACCTCTTCAGAGGATAGTGTGATAGGAATAGGAGGTAGGAATTGGCTAGGTGGTTAGGGTAAAAAGACCCCAAAAGAAAAGTAGCCATTTTCTTGACTAAAAGTCAAAATGTCCTTGGGCCTCTTAGCAACATACTCTGTTCCAAAGGCCAAAAATGTCAAAAGTATTTGGGAGCTCTTAACTAATCCCTAAAAGATTTTAGGGTTACCTCTTCAGAGGGGAGAATGTTAGAGTAGCAAAAAGAATACAGGAAAAAGTGATGGGGAGATATGGGAAGAGTTGGATGGGAAGGAGTAGGCGTGGATTTGATCAAAACACCTTATATGCATGTATGAAATTCTCAATAAATTTTCTTTAAAGTAAAAAAAAAGCAATTGACAAGTTTATATCAAAGTTTATATGGTAATAAAAGTATTCTTTCTGCCTTAGCCTCCCAATGCTAGAATTATAGCCTTGTTCCACTATACTTGGCTAAAATCTTCTGATTATTAAATTTTCCTCTCTCTCTCTCTTTCTCTCTCTCTCTCTCTATCTCTCTCTCTCTCTCTCTCGCATCTATTTGAGACAGGGTTTCCCTGTAGCTACAGATGGACTGGAACTCACTACATAGGCCAGGTTGGCCTTGAAATCACAGAGTCTGCCTGCCTCTGCCTCCCAAGTGCTGTCCTGGAACTCACTATATAGACCAGGCTGGCCTCGATCTCACAGAGATCTACCTTTCTCTGCTGGGATTAAAGGTTTAAGCCTCCATGTCCCACTAAATCATTTTGTATCTTAGACCCAATAATAATGTTTCGTGAAGCCTAAAAACATACAGCATTAAAATGTGCAACAGTATATAAATTGATGGTGGTAGAATATATGTGAATAAAATGAAAGATTCTGGTATTTCCAAGAACAGACTCAAGATTTTTAATAGCCTGAGACTTATACATATTTGTGTCTCAATATCTGGGCTTATCACTGAAATAATGGAATAATAATGCATAATAATGCATAATTTCCAACAAGTGTGTGTGGATGGATGAAAACAGAATAAGGGAAAGAAACAAAATGGAGAGAAAATCCATATTCACTTGACAATAGTAAAAAACATCAAATTAAGGCCAAGCATAGTGGCGCAGGCAGAACTCTGTGAGTTCAAGGCCAGCCTAGTCTACATAGTGAGTTCCATGCCAGCTTGGGCTACAGGGAGACCCTGTCTCAAAAAGACATAAATAAATAAATAAATAAATTATAAAAACATCAAATTAAATTAAGTCACAAATTTAAATAGATCATGAATAGTAGTCATAAACAGTTACACATTCAAGTTAAAAGACAAATATTGGGGAAAATCACCCTGTGTTTCTTGCCAAGCTCTGGCCTGGTGTATCTCTCAGGGTAGCAGCACTCTATCAAGGCCTTTCTAGAATTGACCCTACAATCCAGCTTCAGGATGTTCAAACTGGTTCGTAGATAAAATAGCCAACCTTAGAGCTTCTCAATCACTGGAGTTCTTTGTAAAAGACGTAATGAATTCTTCTTTTTGTTAAAACCATCTCAGTTGGGATTATATATTATTTGTAGGTAAAAGCACCTTAACTGATAAAATGGTTATTTTTCATACCCTGGAAATTTCTGTTAAAATTAGGGTTGTTTCAGGTATGTTAGCAAACACCTGTAATCCCAGCACTCAGGAGATGGAGGCAAGAGGATCACCCCAAGTTAAAGACCAGCCTGACAGGGAGCTCCAGACCCAGCTAGGGCTGCATAGTGAGACCCTGTCTCAAAAAGCCAAATAATAAATAAATAAATAAACAAATAGTTTTGTTGAATACTATTACATTTAACATAGTCTGTTATTATCTAATGTCCCATTATTGGAAGTACTATTTAGAGGCTGGATGACTATTCAGTAAGACTGTTAGAAAAAGAGCCAAGCATTGGGCAACATTTATACAGATAGATGATGTTTAAGATCTCTTCTAACCCTAAGATCTTCAGAGCTTCCCGTTTTATTTGTGTGTGTGTGTGTGTGTGTGTGTGTGTGTGTGTGCAGATACTTGTGAGGCCAGAGAAGGACATCAGCTGTCTTCCTCTAATCCTTTCCATCTTATTCCTTGAGACCAGTCTCTCATTGAACCTGGAGCACACTAGCTTTCATCTAGACTTTCTGTCCAGCAAGCCATCCTCATACTTATACAGCAAGTACTGTTACCCACTTGAGCCATCTCTCTAGCCCTTCAGTTTTACTTTTACTTACTGAATGAACACTTCCTCCATGGTGGTGACAGAGGCCCCCAAAGTGTAGATTCCCAACTCTTCCTGCCTCTTTTCTAAGTCAGTAAATAGACCTTCAAACCTGGAAGGAAAAAACAGTTTTATCTGAAAGACGGAACATAAGTTATTTACCACCCTTGTGAAAAATATAGGGGCTTTGTGGCCAGGAGTATTTGTTCAAATCTCAGCTCTGTCATGCTGTGGTTTCATAACTATCACATAAATAGCATTTATTTTGGAAAGTTCCTGTAGGGACAAACTGAAGACACACTTAGCACAGATATGATTTTGGAATGTCTGAACCCAGGCGTAAAGAGAAATGGCTGGTTTTTTCTCTTCTTTTTCCAAATTCTCTCTTGGACTGCCTTTTATTGGACCCTACCTGCCATGTTATAAGAAGCCCAAGTCACCTGAGGGACCACCTTGAGGAATACTGAGTGCTACATTTAGCAGCGCTTGTGAGCTCCCAAGTGTTAGCCAGCACCATCATCCCAGACATGAGGATGATCCAGCCTGAATATTCCAGCTCATTCTAGCCCCAGATAATATTGATATTGAGCATAAAAACTGTCTAGCTCAGTCCAGTCAATTTACAGAAACTGCTAGGGATGTGGCCAAGAGGCAGAGCCCCTGCTTATCAAGTGCAAGACCCTCAACTGAATCTTCAGCACTGGAAAAAGAACCACATGAGGCATTAAAACAGTTGCCCCTTTAAGCCAGAAAACTTTCAGGTAATTTGTCATTTAGTAATATATAACTGAATCAGAATTTGCAACTATCAGCATTGTTTTTTAAAATATTTTATTTTTATTATTTTATGTGTATGTGTGTATTGCCTGCATTTAAGTGCAACTGTGTCCTGCAATGCCTGTGGAGGACAGATGAGGTCATTGGATCCCTTGGAACTGGAGTTACGGGCAGTTGTTAGCTGCCATCTGGGTGCTGGGATTTGAACCTGGGTCTTCTCCAAGAACAGCCAGTGCTCTTAACCCATGAGCCATCTCTGTAGCCTCTAGAAGCACTGTTTAAAAAAAAATATGTGGTGTTGGTGACGCACGCCTTTAATCCCAGCACTTGGGAGGCAGAGGCAGGTGGATCTCTGTGAGTTCAAGGCCAGCCTGGTCTACACAGTGAGTTCCAGGCTAGCTGGAGCTACAGGGAGAAACTGGGTCAAAAAGAACAAAAATAAATAAATTAAAAAGTAGTGTATTTCATAATCTGGTGTGTAGCACACCTACAGCATATTTAAATTATACCAGCTTGGACACTCTTCTACGGGCAGTTATCAGGCAAATGAAGCTATTCAGCTGTGAGAATCAGCCAGTTTGTATGGAAAAGGAAGTGTTACTCAAAATGAAGAATTAACAGCTAGTGAGTAAAGTTGAGGGTTGATCAAAACCACTCCTAGGAAGCAGAATTACATTATGATCAATATATATATATATATATATATATATATATCCTGCTCTTGATAAAGCAGAAATTAAAGACACATATCAAACTAGAATTCAGAATTACTAGATTGATGTGTGTTATATGCCTCTTATTTCTGTTTCTGAATGATACTGTCCCTTGTGGTCACCACTGCATGCTCAGTTCTTTGGCTGTATGTGGATCTGATACCTTATCTCTTTAGTTCACAAGTCTTCAAACCAAGAAAAATCATACCCAATAAGTTGAACCCAAGTACTACACTAGACATGATCAGATAATAGAATCCTCAGTCTTGTGCTGATCCTATATTAGGATGAGACTGTGTATTTTGCATGTTTGCATATGTGAAGGATGTGGATTTCTGTGGCCATGGGTGAATGTGCTGTGTCTTGGTCCATACCTGGGCATGGTCTTCTTAGGAAGTATGAATATTAATTCTTCTCCAATGCTGGACTCCAAAACTGCATTTGGTATGTGCTGATAAATAAGATCAGAAACCTTCTCTGTGTCATAGAGAGGTGTTTTTATTAAAGTCATATAGTATCCTGTACCTGAAATACCACGTAAAAGATAATGAAATTATCTTACTTTTTATAGTGTTCTTCTTGGGCCACATTTAGTTTTCTACAGCTCAGAATGGGACAAGCTCAGGGCAAAGGAAAGTGGAGGACTACGTGAGATCAAGTTTAAACTATAATGACCTGCCTTCGGAAGCCCTGTAGTGCTATTCTTCAATCTTCCTTTCTACTCCATAATTGGAATGTTACAAACAGCAGTGGAAGGCAACATAAGAAGGGCTGCATTAAGGATGGCACTCCCTTTAAATGATAACTTAAGAAGTGAAAACTAAATTCAAGGCCTCTTCCTACAAAGTTAAGGAGAAGACCAAAGACACTTGCATTAAAATTACATCAAGGTTTTGAGGGTTTATGTCTTACAGCCTTCAAAACACTCAGAAATCAGTAACATTTTTTACTACTATGCAAGACATATATTCTTTTAACAAACATTTTTGAGATCCTAGGATGGGACATTTACTGTCCTGGGTGAAAAAAAAAATCCCTAATCTCCTGGAGCTTTCACTAACAACCTAGGGAACAGACAATAACCAAGATAAATAACAAAGTCTTTAGACTACTAGTGACAAAGACTAAGGAGTAAAATAAACAGTAAGAGAATGCGGTGTGTTGGGATCTATGGTTTTGAACTGAATGAGGAACAAAAGCCTCACTAAGAATGTGGCATCAGTGTAATAATGGCCAAAATAGTGTAGGAGGAACAAAAGGACAGCCACATATGATCTGAAAGGTCAAAGCAACAAGGAACCTGGGTGAAGGAGCAGAGTAAGAAGCAGGAAGGCATCAGAAAATGAAATCAGGAGAGCTGGGGATGGAACTCAATGGTAAGCACCTGCCTAGCAAGTACAAGGCCCTTACTTCAATTCCCAGGATCACAGGGATCAAAAATATGAGGTCAAGGATAATAGAGGCAGCCCGTAAGGCTTTGGTGGCCACTTCCACGACTTTGGCTTTTATTCTGAGTGGGTCTGTGGGAATTCTGAGCGAAAGAATCAGAAGAGGAATGACATGCATTCTCAGGTACTCACTTGGACAAGTGGGTTGAGAACAGAATTAGAAGGTGAGAGATCAGAGAGATGGTTTAGGAGGCATCTGCAATAATCCAGGTAGGAGGAGATGGTAACCTGGACCAGGGTGCTGGAACGTGGTCAGAGATGGAGAGTGACGGACAACCTACATATATTTTGAAAGCAAAGCCAGCAATGTTTACAGGTAGATTAGACATGGGTTATGGAAGAAATTGCTGCAAGAGAGCTTCCAGGTTTTATCCAAGCACCTAGAAGAGAAGAGCTGACTTTTTTGAGAAGACAATGCCTAAGGGAGAAGCAGGATTGGTGGGAACTAGAGCTCAGTTCTTCACAGTTTTTACACAAGTTTGAGAGGTCTGTCAATACTTGCTATGATTTGAGTATGGTCAATGTCCACCAAAACTCATGTAGAGACTTGGTCCCCAGTGCAGTAATGTCAAGAGATGAAGCTTGTAAAGAGGTGTTTGGGTCATGAAGGTGGAGTCCCCAGGAATGGATTAATGCCTTTCTTGTGTAAATTGTCACTCTTGAGTGACTGGATGATTTATTAAGAGAGTAGGTTGTTTTAAACACAGTTAAGCTTCCTTGTCTTCTTTCACATGAGCTTTCCACCATGAGCTGAAAAAACACAAGCTCCCCACTACATAATGCTGCCTTATCTTGAATGTCTGAACCTCTGGAACTGTAAGCCTGCTTTCTTATAAATTAGCCATCTCATATATCCTGTTAAAGTGGAATAGGACAGGGCCATAGAGCAGGCAGTTAAATATGCAGACCAGAGGTTCTGAAGAGAAGCAGAGGCTAGAAATACATGTATTTTTTTCACACAGAGAATATATTTAATAAATCAGGAGACTGGGTGAGACACTACCTTGGTTAACAGATAAAGAAAGGTAGTTAGAAGTAGGAATGGTGGGGCAGGAGAGATGGCTCAGCAATTAACAGCATTGGCTGCTTGTGCAGAGGACCCAGGTTCAACTCCCAGCACCCACATGGCAGGTAACAACTCTCTGTCACTCCAGTCCCAAGGGAAATCCAATGCCCTCTTCTGACCTCTAGGAGCAATGCACAACACGGGTGGATTTACACACACACCGACAATACACTCATACACATAAAATAAAAACAATAAATACAAAATCTTTTAAAAAAGAAGTAGCAATGGTGCAGAGCAACCCGAGATATGGATGGATGCAAGATGGTGCCCTAGAGAACAACAGAAGGAAGTTTGAATGGTGTTGCTGAAAAGAACTTTAACCCATTGAGCAGTAACAGCTCACTGTCATAAAGTGCTCCCTCACACACCTTTTCACTCTGAGAAACATGACATCTTCATTTCTATTTTATAGATTAGATAAAAACAAAGTCTACACAAGGGTAAACTTATCTTGCTACCTGGATAAAGAGGCAATAAACTGACAACCTGAATACAAACTCAAGTTCTCTGATCCTAAGTCTCAAAGTTTATTCCATTTCCTCCTCACTGGCATAAATCCTTCCACTGGGCCAAGAGAAGGCCTCGCCCAGCCCATGTCAGGGCCCTTCACACAGGATAACAGTGGGCAGGCAGTTCCCCTCAACACAATGGGTAGTGGCGCTGACCCTGTCACGGAGTGGAGGTTGCCCTGGGCTCTTACTGCCCACTGCTCACCGTATTTCTTCTTGAGGAACAGTGATGACCCACAGCACTGCAGCTCCCCTTTGGCCATGATGGCAATGCGGTCCCCCAGCAGGTCAGCTTCATCCATGAAGTGGGTGGTCAGCAGGATGGTGTGGTCACTCTTTTGTTGCTGAAGAAGGTCCCAGATGACCCTCCTGGAGGTGGAGTCCAGGCCTGAAGTGGGCTCATCCAAAACCAAAATCTGGAAAGGCAGAGGCACAGCCTTGTGACAGTGGCAGAGCTGCATCCCAAGCCCAGGCTGGCTTTCCTGTGTGGCCCTGTGCAGTACCAGTTGGGGTTTGATAAGCTGGCCTCACCACCCCTGTGTTTGTCCACTGTGTGGAAGCCTGACCTGGCTGCATCAAGAGGCCAGACCTGCTGCCCTGTACCTTGGAGCCAGCTATGAGGGCAATGCCAATAGACAGCTTGCGCTTCATCCCCCTACTCAGGTACTTGGACTTTGAGTTCCACTTGTCCTCCAGACAGAGGATGCTTAGTATCTGCTTTATTTCTTCATGGCACTTCGGAAGAGACAGGCCTTTCAACTGAAAAGCAGAGGATGAGGGGATATGAAGCAAATGGTGCTGATGGGAGCTGAGATGGCTAACCAATATTGTGCTTGTATATATATAAAATATATCCAAGAAAAATATGCAAGAAACTTACTATTTTGGAAGAAAGGGACAAAGGACAAATTGAACCTTGTCAATGAGTAAATGACTTAAAAATAAATATAGCAGCATGTTAAAAGGCTAATATGACTAAGTAGGATTTATTCTAGGAGTGCCAAACCAATTTACTTATTTTTAAAAATCAGTATTTATAGCCGGGCGTGGTGGTGCACGCCTTTAATCCCAGCACTCGGGAGGCAGAGGCAGGTGGATCTCTGTGAGTTCAAGGCCAGCCTGGTCTACATAGTGAGACTATACACATACGTATAGTCTACATATCTGTACACACATGCATGTAAATGTTTATACATGTGTGTAGTGTATTGTGTAGTATATGTATGTATACATATGCATGTGGATGTGTATACACATTATCATGTGTATAATGTATGTATCTGTACATATGCACACATGTATATAGTGTGGTGTATTGTGTAGGCCAAAGGTTGATATCAGGTTGTATTGTGCAGCAGTTTCCTCCAAAATAAAACCTTACATCTTTGAGGGAAGCTCCCTAAGACATAGGATGATCTGGTGGGGGTGGGGAGGAGGAGGGGGAGGTGGTGATCGGGGGTGAGAGAGTGGTGAAACATTCTATCCTATAGAGAAGCTCCTTAAGACACAGGCTGTTCTAAGCTTGTTAAATTTAGGAAGTAAACTTAATAGCTTCAGGAAGTCCCTGAAACTGACAAGATTCACTAGGCCTCTCCCTCCCCAGTGAGGAGTGCTAAGAGATATTTTCAGACAATTGAGCTGCCTGAAAGAGGCTCAGACCAACTGAGCTGCCTGGAAAGGACACTCTCCAACCTGCTGAGCTGCCTGCAGGTTTCCAGCTCTCATGAGCTGTCACCCATGCTCGGGTGAGCTTTGGTGACACAGCTGTCTTTGAGTCATTTCTGCTCCTCTAAGTAACCCCTCACCCATACTCCTGTAAGTAACCCCAATAAAGTCCATTGGTTCACAAAGTTGGACTTGGGTGGGATCCTTACTTTTGGCCTGCCATTGATTCCCTATCTGGGGTGGGTAGATGTTCATGTCTCCCCAGGAATAGTGGACACAACAGATAATGGTAGTGAATTTACAAGATTGTGAGTGTCCTAAAAACTACCAAATTAGACATTATAAAATGAATGAAATGACAAATTTTGTTATGTGCATTTTTTTCTCAATAAAAACTAAAAACTCACCAGGTGTGGTGACGCACGCCTTTAATCCAGCACTTGGGAGGCAGAGGAAGGGGACTCTTCTGTGAGTTCAAGGCCAGCCTGGTCTACATAGTGAGTTCCAAGCCAGCCCCATTACAGCGAGATCCTGTCTCAAAAAGACCAAAAAAAAAAACCCCAAAACAACAACAACAAAAAGCAAAAAACTAAAAACTTAACTACAAAAAATTAAATATAACCATTTATAGACATCTTTTTTTCTTTCCCTTTAAAAAATACTCCAAAAAAAGAAAAGAAAGGGGCTGGTGAGATGGCTCAGCAGTTAAGAGCATCGACTGCTCCCGCAGAGGACCCAGGTTCAATTCCCAGCACCCACATGGCGGCTACAAACCATCCTTAACTCCAGTTGCAGGGGAATCCGACACCCTCTTCTGACCTCCGCAGCATTGCACGACATGGGTGCACTCACATGCATGCAAACAATACACACATACACATAAAATAAAAATAATAAAATATAAAAAAAGGATAAAAAAGATATATATATATTCACTCAGTAGCATAGGTAAGACTGGAACTCTATGTAGCCAAGGTTGGCCTCAAACTTTGAGGTGCTCCTACTGCCTCAGCCTCCCAAATGCTGGGATTACAGGTATAAGCCACCAAGCCCAGGCCCATCTTGTTTTTAGAAATCCTAAATGCCATTATCCCTCCCGCTTTCAGAATACTTAGAGAACAGTATTCAGAAGAGGTTTCAAGGTTGCAACACAATGGGGCTTGAGAGAGGGCTCAGTGGTTAAGAGTATTTACTGCTTTTCCAGAGGATCCAAGTTTGGTTCCCAGCACCTAAGTCAGGAGACTTATTACTGCCTGCAACTCCAGTTCTAGGGGATCTGATGCCCTTAGTGTGTGTGTGTGTGTGTGTGTGTGTGTGTGTGTGTGTAATTAAAAATAAATCTAGAGCTGGTGAGATGGTTCAGTGGGTAAAGACAACTGCTGTCAAGCCTGATGCCCTGAGTTTGATCCCCGGGACCCACATGGTTTAAAAGGAAAGGACTGATTCTCCCAAGTAATCCTCAGTCCTCCACATCCAGGTGCCATGGCCTTAAATAAATAAATGTAATGAAAGTTTTTAAAAATCTAAAGAAAAAAAAAAAGATCGTGACACAAGAAATACTTGATTCTTGTTCACGTTCCTGAGGCAGATTCCTAAAACCCTTATAATTTTCCAAATGATAAGGATTCTAGAAACCTCTTTTGTCCTTATATTTGGTCTTTGATTGTGATACTTGATTCTCCTTGCTACAGAGAGCTCCTAAATCCTCTGGAATTTCCTGAGGGAAGAAGAGTGTCTTGTTCCAATGAGGTGACTCTTGATAGTTCACTGGATAGCTTTAGGAGTTATGGACAGTCATCAGAAAGACTAAGCCATGATAAGAAGCTTGGAACTTTTCTACTCCCCAACCTCTTGGGAAACTAAAGAAATCATCCATCATGCCTACATAATGAAACATAATGGTGGCACGTACTTTTAATTCCAGCCCTTGGGAGGCAGAGGTAGGCGGATCTCTGTGAGTTCAAGGCCAGCCTGGTCTACATAGTGAGTGCCAGGACAGCTGGGGCTACAGGGAGACCCTGTCTCAAAAAGACCAAAAAAAAAAAAAAAAAAAAAAAAAAAAAAAAAAACTCTAAACTATGGAATTTGGAGAGTTTCTGGGATAGTAAACACATTGAGGTGACAGAAGGGAATTGTGCTCAAAAGGAGCATGGAAGCTGTGCGCACATTCCCAAATACCTTGCTCTATGTCCTTCCTCTGTTCACTGTATCCTTTATAATTCTGTTTGCAATGAACTGGAAGTAAATGTTTCCCTAAGTTTCATAGGAATCACTGGAAAATATTGAACCTGAGGAGTGGATTATGGGAACCTTTCCTTGAAGTTTAAGTAATAACATGGGATTTGCAACTGGCATCTGAAGCAGAAGGCAGTCTTGTGGGACAGGGTCCTTAAACTGGAGGGGAGTGTTATGTTAACTATAGGCAGTGTCAGAAATGGATTACAGGATACCCAGTCAGTGTCTTTGGGCAGGAAACTGCTCCCCATATTTGGTTGTCAGAGTGAAGAGAAACATGAGTGTTCCATTGAAAGACCCTCCTGAAATTAATCATAGAATTGCCACCTATCTTACAATTCCCAAGCATGGCACAGAGGAAATAAATCTCCATTATCTACCAACTCACCTGAGCACAGAAAGAAAGATGGTCTGCTACTGTAAAGTTATCAAATAAGATGTCATGTTGGGGGCACCAACCAAGGCTCTTCCTAATTTGAACCATGTCTGTTGAAATCTCATATCCATTGATATATGCCTGTCCTTTCGAAGGGGCAATAAGACCTATAACCAAACAGAAAAGACACCCTGATGTCATCTTCAGTCAGAGGCTATAGGAATAAAAAGGCCTAATGATTATCCTCACTCTTTTCTCCCATAGACATTCTACTTTGCCACCATCAGTCAATCAGTATCATCCAAGGAATATATATTCTGTGTATGATAGTGCCTGAGGATATTTGGGGAAGATTATAGCCAGGTAAAATCCTTCCTGCTTTGAGCAATTCCAGTCTGGTTACATAAAAACATCATAGTCACTTATAAAGTGCATCATATTAGTACAAGGATTAGGTAGTCAGTTTGCATGCTTAGTAAATATGGTCAAGGAAAAAAGTGTTTTGAAAATCTAACAGTTTTGCAATGTAATCCTTAAAGGTGATGTCTGTGACTTGTTCAATGAATGCAGGAATGCAATCACTGCCAAATGTATGCCAGTTTACAACAAGGCAATCTGCTGTTACATTTGTCTTTATTCTTCTTAGAATGATAAAAACAATGAATTTTTATCAAAAAAAGGTCAAAAAAGAAAGGTAAAATAAAGGAAACAAAGGTTATGCAAGTCTCACCATTAAAAGATAACTACTGTTAGCATTTGATTCACAGCCTTATACATTTTTATTCACTCATTTTTTTGCATTATTATGTGGACTTCTTTTTTTTTAGAAGCATTTCATTACAGCTTTAATTATGTTGAGGTATGTTCCCTCCAGTCCAATTCTCTCTAGGACTTTAAACATAGAAGCATGTTTAGTTTAGGTTCACAGTTGGATTAATATAGTTATACAATATTGAACTCAGTATATACCCTGTAAGACATAAAATTGAATGAGTTTTTACCCTTTAAAGAAGATCTTCATTTCATTTTAAAATATGCTGTTTCCTACATTTTTAATGCTACTAACACTTAGATGTTTGCACATGTCTTTAATCTCTATGTATCTAATTGTTACTAGTCACAGTCGGCTACACTCGGATCCTTAGTACCTGAGTATGGCTATAAAGTCATCAGGTAGATTTCACTGGCATTGTTTATCACCTCTACTATTTAACATGTAGTAAATTTTTATGCTTCTTCCTCAAATACAAGTTTTTTTAATTTGTTGATTTTTTTGTGTGTATGTCACACAGAACATCCCACACAAACTTATTCATCTATATGCCCACTTCCCAAATAGCACCCTCCCATAGCCTCCCCCTACCATGCACTGGAGCCCATGTACTCTGTGGTCCCTGTTGTCGACACCCACAGCCATTCCCCAGTGCTTGTCTGTCTGCTGAATCTAGTCAGCCTATCTAGAGGTCTGTGTTTTAGGAAGAGCAGCTGTTCCTCATCTAGCAGCAATCAGTTCTCAATAGTCCTTTAGATAAGATTGGGGTCTGCTGTTCATTTTCCCAGTTCTATGCTGGGTTACTGTCTGGGAGTCTTTTGGGCCACCCTGGCCAATAACTCAAAGGAAGGTATCTCCTGTCTGGCATTGTTTCTTGTTATGTAGCCTTTAGCTATACATATCAACTCTTTAAAAATTGTATTGACCCCACTAATCTTTGGTTATACTTTACTTTTGGGTGTTTAAGACCCTACAGTTGGCCCAGATAAACCAATTTATTTTTACTCTTAAGGTCATTTGAGGATCTGTTCCTCAGGGGTAACACGGGCTTGGGAGGAGCCCCTGGCTCCTTTCTTTAACAGTTTCATCTATGTGAAGATAAGTCAAAGGTCCTACTTGACCATGTCTGACTTCACTTGGAAGCATGGAGGAAATGTTTCCTCTGTGTTGACCCTCCTCTTTGTAGACTGGACACTGGTTCAGGTCCATCTGGTAGGGTTTCCACAGCCTCCTTGCTCAAGAGGACAGGTGACTCATCACAGTTACAGGACATTTTGAGAGATGCTTGTAGTCCCCTGGAACTTAGTCCACCTAGGAGGGCAAGGAGCAAAAACTGTCCTTTATGTCCCCCTGACCAAATTAGTATAGGCCTCAAAGTATGGCTATT